TCCCAAGAGGCTAGAGGTGAGGATCACTGCTGTGACCCAACAAACTAGGACACCATGCCATGGGCTTGGGGATAAAGTGTTCCATTTATTCTCCCACCATGTGGTCTTCCCCAAAAGGCAATGTAAAATACAACATAAAAGGCATTTGAGGGGTAGAGGGAAACATGATAGTGCTTTATATACAATATTCCTACATGAAATTTCTAAAAACAAACATTTTAAACATAAAAAAATTGTCTTTGGGCAAGATGAAGGTATAGATGGCTTTGGTTATTTTTTACAAGTGCACAGGCATCTTAAATTGTCCAAAAGAAAAAAGGGAGTCAAGAACTACAATTTTGGTTTGGACTTGCTACTATTGTTATAGATTAGGTGATCCTTTCCTACAGGTGTTAAGATGTTTTCCTTTTGAGTTTGAAACTCTGTACATCTCTGTCTTTCATGAAACCATCAAGTAGGATTATATTATTCCAAAGATCCACACTCAAGTTCCATGCCACTTAGGGATCATCCTGTGTGATCATTTTTTTCTCAGCCACCTTTCCTTCAAAATACCCAGGGTAGATTTTCTCTCTTACTTATAAATGGATAAGCCAGATGCAACAATCTTACTTAGGAAGAGAAAAATGGACATATGTAAGATCACTGACCATGGATACTTCTCTGAAGTCAATGCTCTTAGTATTTTTCTACTTTGAGAGATAAGTGTGTCTTCCAAAGATGTCTACAGTAGGTGCAACCTCCTGCACTCCAAGCCCAATGAGAACAATATCATCAGTATGACATGATTGGGGGCCCTGCACTAGATGTTTCTGTCCCTGATTATGCATGCCAAAGCATTCCTTAGATTGATAGCTGCAACAGATATGTCATTTGTGGCAAAAATAAAACAATAAAACTACACCAAGAGCAACTTTGGCTAGAGTCACCACCCAGTTGAGTTTACATTAATCCACTGTAGTCCTCCAAGATCCAAATATGTATACTAAAGGGATATATAGCAGGAGTCACCTCATGTGTATTGTTCAATAATGCATTGTTTGCACTGACTCCTGAAGAACTCCATGTATATCAAGGCCCCGGGTTACTTTTTGGTAAAATGAGGCAATTGTGAAATTTTCTCTAGTTTCTTTCATTTTTTTTTTTTTTGGTTTTTTTCGAGACAGGGTTTCTCTGTGTAGTTCTGGCTGTCCTGGAACTCACTCTGTAGACCAGGCTGGCCTCGAACTCAGAAATCCACCTGCCTCTGCCTCCCAAGTGCTGGGATTAAAGGCGTGCGCCACCACCGCCCGGCTTCTAGTTTCTTTCATAATGTCACATCCTGCATCAGGAAACCACTATGGGGATGATGCCAACTGATAACTATGCCTTTCCTACCTCTTCATTTATGAGTTGTAATATGAGAGTGTTCATTTGGGACCATGTGTGTGGACCATCTCAAGCACAGGTGCATCTAACTGGGACTGCATAGACGAACTCGGAGATTTTACAAAGTGTTATCAGGTCAGATCCAATGAACAGTAATAAAAAAGTAATATTTTTTCTCTAATTCATATTGCTGTGGTTAGACAGTCCCTTTGTATCTCTGAGGAAGCAAAGGAGGGAAATACAGAAGTATAGAGTTGGTACCAGAACTTTCCTCAAGGGCACCCAGTCTCTATCATGCAATGAGCTCTGAGTTGTCTGGCCCAAGCCTGGGAACTAGCTGAGGCTTCCTATGATAGTCAAGACCACTTTTTACCAGACCTAGAATTTTTCTGCAAAGGTCCATGATTCTAGAACATCAACTCCAGTTATGTGGTTCATTGGGATGCATAGTCTTGATTCTGAACAAGTACTTGGTTGAGTTACTACATTAATCTAGCTTCACAATATCTTTTTCTTTGAAATTTCATCACAATAAATTGTTTTTATCTGTTAAAAAACAAAGTTTTCATTCTTATTTTGACCAAAACCATAATGTCCAAACCCATCATCTTCATTGAACATGTTCTTGAGTACTTAGACACAATGAGCCACCCAAAGCCTTGTCTTGCATTACAGATACACAGAATATTTTATTCTGGGATATTCTGAAAGTCCACTGAGTTCTCCCAAAATGTGTATTAACAAATAGAATATTAGCATGATTAAATCAAGGCATTCACTTACAGCATCTGTTCTCAACCTGTGGGTCATGACCCCTTTAGGTGTCAAATTTCCAATATCCTGGATGTTAAATATTTTACATTAAAATTCATAACTGTAGTAAAATTATACTTTTCAAGTAGCCATTACAATTCATAACAGTAGCAAAATTAGTTATGAAGTAACAATAAAAATAATTTTATGGTTGGGATTCATACAACATTAGAAAGTGGTATACCACATGCATTTCTCTTGCATCAGTACACAGCCCAAGTCCAAGGAAGCAGCAAGAAACTGCAATACACCACCAGAAGTTTTGGGCATGTTTCTCTCTATGGAGTCCTGACAAATGCAGTTCGACTACTAATACATGCATGTTGTTAGCAAAGAATCCTTCATCATGTGTCCTTTCACATGCTTGCTTTAGTAGAACATCCTTTCAGCTGTGTCTGCTTCAGAGAAACCTTTCTTCACAAGTCTGGCTGAGCCTTTCACTCCTGAGTCCACTTTCACCAAGCAAAACACCATTCAACTGACTTTCCAAAGAACCCTTACATTTCCACTTCATTACTCTAGTACAATGGCCATCATCAAGAATATGAACAATAAATGCTGGTGTAGATATAGGGAGAAGGGAACTCTTTACATTGTTCTTTGAAATGTAAACTAGGTGAAGATAAATTGGAAATCAGTCTGGAGAGTTCTCAAAAAACACCCCCCAGTAACAACAACACCCCACCAACAAAAATCCCTACCACATGTTTAAGCTAAGTCACACCTGAGCACTTATCCGAAGGACTCTATAATCTCTGACATGGATCTCTACACTCACATGTTCATTGCTGCATATTCACATTAACTAAGAAATGAAAGCAGTCTAGTTGCCCATCAACTGATGAAGAGATAATAAAAATGTGCTACATATATTTTTTTTAAAAAAGCAAATTTTCTAGAAAATTGATGGAATTCTATTTTTTTCTGAGTGAGATAACCCAGGAATCCATGCAGAAAACCTGCATGTTCTCTCCCATACAAGAATCCTAGCTATGTGAATGTATAATTTTGTGTGTTTGATATGAAGTAACTGTGGAAGCCAGGAAAACAACAAGAGACATCAGAAATTACCTCCAAGGAGTAGGAATAGTAAAACATAGGCAGTAAAGAAAGGGAATACTGAAGTAGAAAGGTTTAGGCAGTAAGAAGGCAAGGGGCTGAAAGCTGAGGGTGTAGGTTGGAGGGAAGAATTAACTGATATAAAAAAGCATACAGGAACCATGTGAAAAGCAAGGTGTGCCCACATATGCAATATCAACTTCTGTGTTTTGTGAGGAACCAACTGCCCTATAATCAGAATAAAGATCCATACCATAGGGGTGGAGGGGACCAATTGGTGCTGTGGGCCTGTCTAATAACATACAGGGAAATAAACTTAGGCAGTAGCGAACTGCCTTACAAAGACCCAAGATTTTCCCACAGACAAAAGTAGATCCCAGCCTTACTCAGAGATACCTCTTCTTCTGATAAATAGTGGGGTGAATGCAGAGAAGCACAGGGGCCCAGGATACACAAATAAGTGGTGGTTGTGAGTCCCCTAAACGTGTCACTTAGTCCACCCCTTCTAAGGCTCAGGGACCTCTGCGGTGAGAGCATCAGAAGTATGTAAGAGCTGGAAGATGGGGGAAGGAATGAAAACTGCATTCTCTAGACTGGATACAGTTATGACAATCATCAGTTCACACCAACTGTAGTTCTCAGCACTGGGTCCATGTAAGACTACTCCAATCAACAACCAGTCAAGGAAGGGGGAGTGGCTTCCAGGGTGTCACTCTTGATCTCTTGAAATATTGGCTATTGATAGTTTCTGGATTGGGAGGAGGAAATTACTGTCATTAGTTGAGTGTCTACTGCTGACCCAACCAGGCTCCAATTTAAACAGATGGTAATTGTTAATCTTAGTGGGTTAAAATTAAGTACATGGACATGAACATGAGAGAAATATTTGTGAAGTGAGCCTAGGGTGTCCAGTGATGTTAGGGAGGGGAGAGCGTTAAGAATATTCAATTGGCATGTGGTACATGTAGAAAACATTGTTTTAAAAAAAGGTATCAGGCTGCCTCCATAACAAGGTGCACAAGGTGACTAAGACAGTAATTATACAGTGGATATCTTGTAACTCTAAGCTCACACCATGGCTCTGAGCCAAGATATATGAGAGGTACTAACTTGGCCCTGCTGGAGAGGAAGTGACTCTACAGACTGGTCTGGGTATTCAACATTTTGGTCCCATTCTATAGAATCTGATGTGGGGACTGTCCTGTATCATCTCCTGAGTCCCATTGGAAAAGGTGAAGAGAGGTCAGTAGAGTTATAACATGAGAATTCAACTTGGTAGAGAGGCCTTGCTGGAGCTTGACCCAGAGAACAGTGGACTTCCCAGGACAATAGACATTACTTAGAGGCACAGGGAGAGTGGGAGGTAAAGGCTTTTGATCATTCTCACCCTTGGTAGCCTGTTAAATGTAAAGAAGAATTGAAAGAAGAAAGGAAAAAAGGAAGGAAGGAAGGAAGGAAGGAAGGAAGGGAGGGAGGGAAGGAGGGAGGGAGGGTAAGCTCAGAGACAGATGAGACAGAGACAGAGGAGACAGAGACAGAGACAGGGAAGGCAGCCTTTTCAGGCAAAGGCAGGACTTTCAGGACTGACAGTACTGGCCTTTGTATGTGCTGTTATGATGGGGTCAGTGAACTGGTTTTATTCCCAAATTTTATGCAAGTATCTTAAGAGATAAACAAAGAAACAAAGAGAGAGTAAAGAAGAAGATATTATATAAAAATGCTTTAATCTCTGCACTCATGGAAGAAAGAAATGCCATGCCTTTACTTCAGACAGATTTATTTATTAAGACTCAGATAGCCATAACCCAGGATACTGCACACTAGCCCAGACAAAGATTTTGTATTCTAGGGTTGTTGCAAGAGTTTCATTGTTTTCTGAATCCATGGTATAAAACTGGAGATTCTGGTGAACACCCGAGGAGGTGTCCAAGGACAGATGTGATAACTGACAATGCCCTGGGCTACTCCATTACAGACTAAGGGTCCCCCAGAGTCTCCCTGTGGACAGAAAAAGGAAAAGTTTTAGTACATAGTCTCTTATCACATCTTTCCAGACCATTTTCTCCCTGTTCTTCTCTGTTCCCATTGCCTGGGTTTTCAGATGGAAAACACTACATGAGCCCATTGACCTCCCTTCTGAATGGGGCTGAGTAGACAGAATCTGTTAATCACTAACTAGTGTGTCTCTATCTTTCTGTGTCCTTACTTCAAGTTAACTAGACCTAGCTCTCCTATTTTCCCATGGTAAAAGGACAAAAGATAGACTTAGGGAAAATTCCAGATCCCCATATGTTGTTCTCTCCATATTCTCTAGACTAGCCATGATTGTAGAGCCTGGCTGTGTGTCTGCAGTATGACTCTAGCCCTGGGAAAACATTTGAAGATAGTTATGTCCTTACATTAGAAGTAGCCTTCCTTTGATTGGGATCTCCCACACAGAGCTGGATGGTGGTGTTGTAGTTTTTGGACCTGGCATAGCACGTCTGGCCAGTTTGAACGACTAGATTCACTTCTTGAAGTGTTTTAGGTGAAGTACAATTGGGCAAGGTTCCCCATCCTGCCACTGTGCACACCTGCCCAGGCTTCACCCAATCATGGCTCTTTGGAAGGGCAATAGTTTTCACAGCACTATTGAGTTGAGCTTTGTGTTCCAGCTGGTCAGAAAGATGAAGAATAAGAGTTCAGATCTGACACTCTCTGAAACCTTAAACCAGGGATGAGGCTGCCTGCATCTTCCCCATTTTCAAAGACCCACCCACCTCCCACTCTAGCCCCACCCAATTGTCCTGGGGACAATAGATCAGCCACCTAGTAGAGAAAAGGGGACTGATACACTAGTGATCTACGGGAGTAAGCCAGACATCAGTAAAATGGTACCTTCAGGAGCATGATGTCATTAACCAGTGTTTTACTATTGAAGTCCTCATGAGGTTTGGCTTTATAAACTCGAATGACCTGTTTGTTTTTCCATTCCTTGATATTGTGAGCACCTAAGGTTACATTTATATGACTGTGAAAAGAATATGGGTTAAGTACAACATAGGAGTAGTGAAGTTATCCCTGAAAGGGAAGTTGAAGGCTCAACCTAAGGCTGAGTCAAATAGCAAGAAATATATGGGGGAGTTGTTTCTTAGGATTTCAATAACTGCCCAACCATTCAGACCCTTCACTGACACTATTTGGTCTTGAGTTTCACAATCACTTTAGATCATGTAGGATAAAGGCAGGTTGATCTTCACCTTTGGCTCTACATGTTTAGGGACAGCCAAGATCCATGGTTATTTGGTCAGTGCCAGGCATCAAAGACCCAGTTGCTTCTCCTTACCTTCCGAAACAGTGAGCTGCTGTCATTACAATGTCTTCTCCCACCAGGAAACCACCACACTTCCTGCGATCTAATTTGCTATTATAAAAATTTATGTATGCCATGTAGGGCCGAGAGTGTGGTTTGGACTCTGTACCCCAAATGATTTTTCCTGAAAAAGAAAGCTTATTCTGAATCTTTGTGCTCATGAATACTGTGCAACAATCCTGGAGGCTGGAATAAGGGATATTTCATGCTTGTAGATTGTGTGGGCCTGAGGAAGATGGAGAAAAGATCCTTTTGTAAGGGTTGTCACCCAAGGGAAAGGGGTGCCTGGATGCTGCGAGGAATCCCACAGAGCCTGCTGCATGACGTCACTTTCCCCTAGTTTTCAATTTCTTCTTGTTGTCGTGATGGTGCCAAGACTTTGCCTTGAATCAAATTAAATCTCATGTACACATTAAGGAAGAACTCAGCAAACATTGTCCAGCAGATCAACACACTCCAAACAATCACAGTTGTTCCTGTGTCTCATGTTTCACCTGGTGTCCTGCTCACTTAAGCACTGGGCTCTACCTGCAGGAAGCATGATGCACTATTGATGTAGAAAACTCTGGCTTCTTTTGATCTATTCTGATTCATTAGGCATAATAAGTACTTCACTTAGCGATGAGTTTGCTGAATAAACACTGAAAAACTCTCAAGTGTGCTAAGCAAGTAGCTGGGAGGAAGCCTCCTAATGAAGTCTGAACTTCAGCATAGATTTGTCTTCCTAAGGCATTGAAATAGCCTTCAGGATGAAGAGGGGAGTACACAGGACTAGTAAGATCATAGAGAGGAGGGGAAATGAGTTGGAGGATTCACTGTCTGCCTATTTCCATCAAGCTGTGGAGCAGGGTTGCAGCCTTACTTTGCTGGCTCTGCTAGATTGTGGGTATCATGGTAGACCTGTATGATTGAGAAGAACAGAGACAAGACCAAGAAGACACCTGGAAACCTGAATAGAAAAATTCTTCTAGGCTTGATCCAGGTAGAAATCCCTGGATAAAGCTGCTTGCTCTTAGGTTTGTGCAAATAAAACTTTTAGCCCTCATTTTCAACTGCAGCTTTCCAGTAGGGTCCTATGATGGATGTTTTTATAATTCATCACTTTTAGATGATTGAGGTCTCACTCACCAGGTGCCACTGCAAGGAGTTCACTGAGACTTTAGTGCCCTATTTATCCTGTGCTCGAGATGGGAGTCAGCTAACATCTTAGATGAACCAAGTCAGGAGTAGATCTTAGATACAGCCTGACTGGGCATCATGCAAGCAAGTTTCAGCTTCTAAAGCCACATGCCACACCTCTAGTGATGTGGATGGTTGCTTACCTCCTTCAGTGTTGACTGGTAGGACAGCCACCAGGAAGATCAGGAGCAGGAACATTCTCTTCAGGGTCTGACTTGGTCTCAGTTGGTCACTTTGTCACTTCTCACAACTTTTAAACCATCAGGTGAGGAAAGAGGCCCAGAACCAGAGACCTCTAATTTCCTGTGTGATAACTGATATCTGAGTTCTTGCCACATCTGTGTGGTGAATGTACAGGAAACACACTGTTGTCAGTTGCTGGTGAGCATGACCACATTCCCCACAGGAATGCTAGATGCTGAGAAGACCAGAAGAGCCTATTGAGGCCTTCCATACTAGGCAGAAAACAAGTCCCCTCTCCTGTCAGTGCTCAGGGAATTGCATTAGGATGCCTCCTCTCTTGAGTTTGTGATCAGGTAGTTGTCTCCTTTGAAAAATAACTTTTCTACATCCCATACTACTCTTTATGAGGAGTTTTTGTGTTGTTGTTTCTTGTTGTTGTGGTTTGATTTGGTTTGGTTTGATTTGGTTTGGTTTGGTTTGGTTTGGTTTGGTTTGGTTTGGTTTGGTTTGGTTTGGTTTGGTGTGGTGTGATGTGGTGTGGTGTGGTGTGGTGTGGTGTGGTGTGGTTGGTTGGCAGGCTGACTGGCTGGTTGGTTAGTCAGTTTATTCGTTGGTTGCTTTTTTTGTTTGTTTGTTTTTTTTTTGCACAACATCTTTTGTTTTCAGATTTAAGCTGATCATCTAATAACATCCCTTGAGTTTTGCACACTTGGGGGGAGGAGATGAAGAGTAAAGATTTAGGATAAAATTCTGTTGGGATGTTGATGACAGTGTCAGGAGGTAAAAAATTACTGAATGGGAGCTTTATAGGAAGTACTTTACAGACACATGCACATGATCCCATGCTATAAAGACAATAATGTCCTTATCATCTTGACATCCCAAAAGTCTCAAATATTTTATCATCAAAGTAGTTAGTGGCACAAAAGTAGAGACAAGGAACAGAAAGAAAGCTGTGCTATTGGCTCTGAGTCTAGGCATTTGTAGTGTTCCACACTGTCAAGGCAATTTGATCCCCAGGGAAGTCTGCATGCATTGCAGGCAAAGCTCTTTACTGCCTACTTCTCTGTCTCTGCTGAGCAATCAGCTGTGGTTCACCTTGCAGTTCTTTATATGCAGGTGCCTGGGTGATATCAGCTTTTGAATGTAAAGCTCAAGTGCATTTCTTATTAAAATACCAGTGTCAACCTGACAAAGAGACTACAGTTTCCGACAGTCTTGTCATTTCGTATAGACACAAGGAGACTTCTGATGTAAGCTGCATGAAGTCCTCATGCTGACTTTGCATCTGTGACACCAAAGCTGGAATATTCAAACACATTCTCATTTGCATTGCTCTCTCAGGGGATACTACAGGGATTATTAATATCTTATTACTCTGTTTCTTTACTTGTATCCTCTTCTGTCAATTTGCAAATGATGAACCCATTCAGTAATGGTAGAGTAACTATTAAATATCTGTGTGATTCCATATATCTGCTAAAACAAAATCCATAAGGCTATACACCAAGAAAATAAAGATGCTAGATTAAGATGTTACTCCCACAGCCTGATTATCATGTGAATGCATCTGGTCCTGTGCTGTCACAATTTCCACTCCCGATTTCTTTTATCTTGACAGTGCTATCATATTTTCCTGGCAGTTGAATGTCTTTTGAGTCACAGAGACAGGCTATCCTTCTGCCTCACACATGGCTCACAGCCCTATTTCTCAGGGCTTCCTGAGAACCAGTTTACACTGTCAAGAAGACCCAGTTTGAGCTTCCCTCCTGCTCCCAGAATTTACTGCAGCTTTGACCAAGGCCTGGGAAGTTTGTACACGTGGATAGGCATGATGTGAGGGAAAAAGTTTGTTTGCTTGTGTGAGGATTTCACTGTTAAATTTGTAACTGCCTTAGGACTTTGTGAGTAGAAGAAAGGGAAACAAATGTGGATGAACTTTTAATGGGACAGTGTATGCAGATCTACAGTGAGGTCTGGAAGGTAATGACAGAAGGGCCAGGAAAGATACATGAAAGCAATGGGTGGAAAATTCTCATGTTTGATGGAAAAAAGAATCACCATAGTCCTCCTGTGGAGTTCAGTGCACTGCATGTAGGATAAACTCAGTGCACTGTATGTAGGATAAACTGTATCTAGGATAAACTGTATGTAGCATAAAGGATCCAGGCCATGCAAGCTCACTCTCCTTGTGTCTTAGCTCGATTTCTTTTTTCCTGCTCAGTCCACTTTTGAGATAGCACCTTTGGATCCCTGTCACCCTTGACATCTGTTTCTATGCTAAGGTCGCAGAGGAGCAAGGGGCTCCTGCTAGAGTTCTGATAGCTACACTGGGAACCTATCTTCCTGAACTTGAAAAGCTGAAATCCCACGGGGGAAAGGAGAACATGGCAGTACTTTATCTGAACAGGGAATGGTGCTGTCCACTGTCTTTAGACAACATCTTATCCCATTAAAAACCTAATCTTCTTGAATTCTCAGAGTCTGTTTAAAAATTAAATATATATATATATATCACCACTGTTGCAAAAAGTAGAAAACACAAGTTTGATAACTATAGCTGTTTTTATTAGTAAAGCACAGTGGCACAATCTTTTAGAGCTATCAAACAACATTCTTCTTGGACATTTTTCATCTTTGTGTACAGAAATACTGACCCTGTATGATAAAACTCCCCAATTGATCCTTCTGTCTGACTCTGTTTATGTCTCCATGAATCTATGGGAGACTTGCCCAAACACCAGCATCCAGAGAATGATGCTACCTCATGCTTCATACATGGTCATTACTTTATTGGCCAACCAGACCTTAGTAGATAGTAGGGAAGCCCTATGCATATTCAGGACTATGGTGGGGCCTAGAAAATGAGGAGAGTATAAAGACCAAATCAAGAGCTGGGGAGGGGTAGGGTGATGATTCAACGCCTGAAGTCATCCTTCTGTCCAGAACCCCTAGGATGAATCTTCCAGGAGGAAGTTGGCTCACATAGTCTCCTGAGTATTTTATGGCAGACTACAGGGATTGGGTTGCCACAATTTTGGATGTTTTGGAAGAAAAACAAGATAAACAAGTTTTGATGATTGTTTGTTTGTTTGATTGATTGATTGTTTTTAATAAGTGGGAAATGTATGTTCTCATACTTAACTGAGAAAAGCCTAAAGCCTTTTCATGTTGAGGTCATATTTTTAAAAGGCTATTTCTTGGACTATCTAAGCAGTGGTGGTTCTGCCTAGCTCAGGCCACTATGCTCCATGGCCTTAAGCCAAGCACTCCACTGCTGGAAGTGGACAGAGGCCATGGGCAAGCCAAGCTCAAAATGACCAGCCTGAAACACCAGCCCTGCCACCCATGAGATGCCATAGTGGGAGAAGGCTCAGCAATCTCTCATGCTGTCTCCACAAGGCTGGGCTGAGCCCAGACCATCTGGCAATCCATGCAGTACCTGGTTGAAATGAGACTCTAATGCTTAACATCATCCAAAGGCTGTTTATAATTAAAAATGCTCAATAAACAAGATGTCCATAAAATTAGAGTTGTAACCCAATATCTAACCTTATGATATAAATCATTACCTGGGACTGTCCTGGACGCAAGCATGGTTCTCCATGGCTCCTACCTCTCATTCTTCCTCCTAGCTCCTCCTCTTCCTCTCCTCTTCCTTGGCCTTCTGACCCCTCACTCCACCTACCTCTCATACAGCCAAATCGCTGAGCTTTATACAAATGTAGTGGGATGATATCCCACTACACTTGCACACGCCTCTCTACTTGTTTCCAATGAATACTTTGTGCTGCATTCTGACTGCTGCCAGAGCATTGGAGCTCTGCTCAGGCAAGCTCAGGAAAGCTATGCTGCATTTCCCCTATGCTGCCATCTGGTGATGGGCTTTTGAGAAACACTGATACACTGCTCAGGGGATGGGAGAATGCAGCCTAGGATGGAGCCTCAGACCTAATGAGAAACAAGGCAGGCTGAGGTCAAAGAGTCAGGGGTTCCCAAGCTCCTGGAAATCCAGTCATACTGGAAATGTCAGGGAATCCAGAATGAAAGGAGGAGCCTGCAATGGGGGATAGGGGGTGTCTCTAGCTTAGCGCATAGCAAATGTTTGAAAGTGTGAAGGGGCCTTCTGTGGGAGACTTAGGCAGCAGCTCTGTATGATGAAGGCTTACCCCCACTGTGGTCCTTGTGGGTGGTGCTGCCCCAGGGCTGGTGGTTCTGGGTTTTAAAAGAAAGCAAGCTGAACAAGCTTGAGAACAAAGCCAATAAGCATCAATCATTTATGGCCCCTGCGTTAGCTCCTGCCTCCAGGTTCCTGCTTCCAGTTGCCCCATAGGCAACATGCTAATAACTGTGATTGTGGATGAAATATAGGAGGCCAGATTGAGTTATTTTAATTTTCTGCTCAGATGTAACAACCTCTTAAATAGTGACTGACCCTATTGCTGCTGCTGAGAATAGTATTCTACAAGAGAAACACTTAAGCCTCTAGTTGCTAAAATAATCATAATGTATCCATAGGTGTTTTGTTTTTGACCTTTAATTTTTTTTGAGATTATTGTTTAATTATAATATGTCTCCCTTCTCTTTTCTGCATCCAACCCCTCCTATGCACCCCTCCCTGGTCTCTTTCAAATTCATGGCCTTTAAAAAAACCTAATTGTTATTATATTTGTATATGTATTTGTATACAGCGATATATTTTAAAATATAACCTAATGAATCCATACAATGTTGCTTCTACGTATGTTTTCAGAATGGACCATTTGGCACTGGACACACAACTGGCGTGTTCTTTCCTTGGGAGGGCCACTTGTCCTACTCTCAGCTTTCCTCAATTACCTGTAGTCCTTTGTGTAGGGTTTAGGCCTCCTGGTTTTTCCTTGTCCAATTTAGCATGTCCATTGGTGTCAGCCTTGTTTATTTTGCATTTAGGTGCTCATATTGGTAAGACTTAATGCATAGCTGTTACTTAATGCATTCTACTGTTACTAGGAACCCAATCTCACATCAAACTCCCTGGTCCTCT